AGGTCCAGGCTGGCAGCACTGTCCAGCTCACCAGCATTCCGTGCATGGAGGCAGAGGGCAAGGGGCTGGAGGTCTAATCAAAAGGGCAGCAGGAGGCCATGGGACCAGCAACGGAGGGTGGAACCAGAATTTAAAGCATGCAGGGTCAGGGGTCAAACAAGCCCGATCAATCAAAGAGTTAAGTCACTTCACAGAAGTGAGTCTCAGAGCCCCGGAGGAGGAGCAGCTTCTGTCCTGAGGAAGGGTGGTCTGGGACTCACAGGGATAGGTGAGAATAAAAAGAGCTAAGACTGAAGAGGCCTGGGCATGAGCCTGGGGCTGCTGGAAGCATTTGACAATGTCACAAATCTTCCCTAGGCCATATGCTGCATTATTATGATACCTATCTTTATAGGTTGGAGAATGATAATACAGCGGTTAAGGACCTTGTTTGAAGCCTACAATGTGTTGAGACCTAGGCTGGGACTCAGGGAGCTGGTTCTATTCTCCACACACATGCTGCTGCCATTGCCGTGGACAGGACTCCGTTGTGGAGAGACGGTAGCTAGCCCAGGGGCAAATGCCTTCTTTGTTTATCTTCCTGGAAATGACAGACTGTTGGAGGAACTGTTTCAGGAGAAAAAAAAAAAAGCATATTCAATAACTGCAAATTTGCCACTTGCTGATACCATCAGCAGCTTTCCAAGGAGGCAAGTAGGTAGTCTCCCAGCAGTTGATGCGGCCCCAGGCAGCGGAAATCAATCATCTCTCTCATGATCTCACCTCAAAGAAAACGATCACAAAGTCAAGGCCCACAACCATCCCCACAGTAGTCAGACACGTGGCTGCATCCCTGCCATAAATCAAAGGGGATGCCCGGCTTTTCATCAGATGCCTGAAGATAATTCCCCTGCCATTTCCCCTGCCATTTCCCCTGCTCGGACTCAGAGGGCCATAGCTAAAGGGTTAACATCTCATTTCCTCTTGTCTTTCAAGCCTTAATCCCTATCCTGAGCTGGGTGCATTCCAAGCCCACCTGGAGCAGGTCAAGACCAGCTCCCAGCCCATGACTGGTCCTTCATTTCCCCTGGCAGGAGATTAGATGAGGCACCCATTAATCACTCATTACCTCTGTCTTCCCTGCTGGTCAGGCCTCAGGCAGCCTGCCAAGGGGCCTGGGAGGGTGCTTGTGAGCTGTCCAGTGCCACCCTCCTGGGGACAAGACACAGAGGCACAAGCCTGGTTCCTGACTCTGTGGACCACACCCAAGCAGACGGAGAACACTGCCTATCTTCACCTAAGCTATCCTTCAGGCTCCCAGACCACAAGCACCTACTGCTTAGCTGAAAGATTAGGGAACGAGAGAGAAATAAACTAAGAGTGACCACACTTTCCCCACGACAATCACCAGGGAGAAAAGCCACTGCCCACCTGGTATTCGTGCCCTTCAGAGGACCCAGAGGGAAACTGGACAGGAAGTGGAGAGAAGACAGGATACTGGATGGATGATTACCATAGTACAGATGTGTGTTCAATGGCTGGGCTGGAGCACGGGGCAATAAGAGTCCTTCAGACAGAACCAGCACCTACAGGGTCTAAGACTGTACGCAAGTTTCTTCTGGAAGACGGTTAATGAGCACCCACTTCTGTCCAGCACTGATCAATCAGGGTAGACAGGAGAAATGAGAAGTGACACTGAGCACCTACTATGTGCCAAGGCTTTGCCTAAGGGGCTTCAAAGCCACGTTAGTCTCTAGGCCTCGCTAGCCCACTGTTCTATGTGAAGACGGGGGTGGGAGGAGGGCAAATATAAAGAACTGTTAAGTGAGAATCCGCCATGGGTCAGCCGCCACTCCAGGAGATCGGCTGTGGCTAGCCTGGCCTGGCCAGCCCTATCTGGAAGAGTCCGGCCTATGTTGCACCCCCACCAGCTTGGGGTTTTCAAGCCAAGGTATTCTGATCTTTTCTTCTTAATGCTTGTTCAGATCGTGGGTCACAAGGGCTGGGCTTCGATGCTTTCAGGGAAAGCAAGAAGGATGTGCTGTGCTTTCAAAAACTTGTTTCAAAGGCCCCTTTAGCAACAACAAAACATGGGGGTGGGGGGGCTCCCCTGAACTCACAACTCCAAGGTCCTCTGCTATGGATAGATAGATAGATAGATAGATAGATAGATAGATAGATAGATAGATTGATAGATGATAGAAGGTACATAGATAGATAGATAGATAGATAGATAGATAGATAGATAGATAGATAGATAATGTAAAAGTCAGGCATAGTGATACATGTTTATAATACTAGTCCTGGGACAGACAAACACAGGCATATTCCTGGGACTCAGACTAACATCCTATGGCCTGTGTAGTACACATGCACACTTGCAAGCACATGCACACACACACACACACACACACACACACACACACACACACACACACACAAACTCACACAGCTAAGCCAGGTCAGCTAAGCCAGGTATGGTAGCAAACACCCATAATCTCAGTGTTCCAGTACCTGAGACAGAGGATGATCAGCTCAAGGCCAGTTGAGCGACATGTTGAGGCCTTGTTTGAAAAGGGTGGGGAGGGGGAGAGAGAGGGAGAGGGGGAGAGGGAAGGAGGAGAGAGGTAGAGATGGGGAGGTGGGGGAGAGAGAGAAGAGCAACAAGCCATTTGTGATAGACTCTGCATCTGTCACTACAGTTTCATTCCTGGTCCAAAAGGCAGCCCGGGGCTGAGGTCTCCAAAACTCCGTGTGCCTAGGAAGGAATCAGTTTCTCCCTCTTCTGTACACGTGCACATGGCTATCCATACTCATTCATCCATCCCCCTCTGTTGTGTTCCGTTACTTCCGTCCTTTCTCCTTGGGTGGTCATTTATCAGCAGCTCTCCTCTCAGCCCCCGGAGGGCAGTGATACCGTCTTGCTCTACATAAACCCCCAGCACACAGTAATAATCCCTGGCACACAACGAAAGTTCAGAAGTATTTTCTGGAGAAAAATTAAATGGAAGTGAATACTGGGGAGCCATTGTGATTCCTTGCAAGGAGATGTGGTGAAGTCAGAATTTCAGGAATATTAATCTGTCAGCATGAAAGGAGATGGATTACAATGAGGAGAGCCACCCATGGCTGGTAGTCAGGAGGGGAAATTGTTACTGTAATTTGGACATGGTTTAAGGTAGGGGCAGGCAAATAATTTGAGATATCAAGAAAGAATGTGGAAAGGGCTTTATGATAAATGAGCTATGCATGTAGGAAATGGGATGAGGGTGCTGGGGGGGGGCACTTGAACACGGATACCAACAGCCAACAGGGATAAAAGTGATGCCCGGGAGAACAGTGTGGAGGGCAGAGAAGGAAAGGGTCGAGTCCAGGCTCTGTGGGTAACAGACATGATTGCTAGATAAACAAAAACTTTGAGTCCTGACCTTCCTCCTGAACTGTATTCTGTTTTCCTCCCTTCCCACCTGGCTATGAGACTTCGCCCATGGCAAGACCAATGGTGCCCTGCTGTGGGCTGGGCATGGAGACCACATGAGCCCAGTCACCCCCACAGTGAGGCCAATGCAACCACTTGCGTTAGTAATGGTTCCTCATACTCTCGTCACCCAAACTCATTCTGCAGGCTGGACCTTTGGGAATTCCCTGCTCCAGCCCTACAGAGGTTTATGGGAAAGCCCCCCGGACTCTCATCTGCTTCCTCACATTAATTTCCAGGGTATGATTGCGTTTTTCAAAGGAATTCAACTATGGTGCCAACAAAAATCTATAGGAATTGAGTAGGGCTACATTTAAATCACATTTTTTTTTTAAATGTTTGCTCCTTTGTACACAGAGACCAGTTAAGATTCTCTCAGGTCCAGTAACCATGCCCCTTCCATCTCTACCAGGTCAAAACACCCATGATGTCAAAGATAACAGAGTGACTCTAAAAGGTGTCAGGTCTTAGCTGATGTCTGGGTGTCTCAGATGCAAAGGAAGCTGGATATGATAATTCCTTGGCGTTCTGGGCTATCTATTTCACTTACTCCAAATTCTAATGGGCTTCAGTTCCCCAGATCCAAGGTTTCCATTCACCTACTGCCTGCAAAAGGGCGGGGGAGACACTGGTGAGGGACGCACTTTTAACGGCACGGAGAGCTGGGGGTACTACTTAAAATCTCACTTAGACCCATAATTCTGCATGCTAAGTGAGTGCCCCGAAAGCCTCTCCCCAAGATACAGCTGAAGCTATTACTAAGAAAAATGAAACTTCCTTTTCAGATCTCCCCCACTTCAAGGTGAGCAAGTTGGTCAAAAGCTAGTTCTTCAGTCCTATGAGAGCGCCACAGTTCTATGAGCCGCACTTGGTGTATCCCAGGCTGACAGAAACAGCAGATCCACCGGGGCTAGCAATGACACGGGGTTGCAATGACTAACCTGACCTGGGGCTCTGAGGCTTTCTAGAAACCAGAGTGATGGAGGCCCCATGCTGGGGCTCTGAGGGCGCTGACACACACGCCACCAGCCATCCCAGGCTAAGCAAAGGGAAGCAAGGCTGGGGTGGGGGTACAAGGGCAGCATGTGCAACTCAGGAGTTTCCCTCTGAGCTGAGCGTATCTCAAGAGGGCCAGTTCGCTGCTTCCCCCACCCGTAGGTGGCCAGGCCCTAGAGTTAAGGGTCAGGGATGAAGACTAAGGGGAGAGCAGGCCTCCAGGAAATCCAGGAAACGGGAAGAGAAAGGGAAAGAGGAGGGGAGGGGAGAAGTGAAAAGGAAAGGGAAGAGGAAGAGTAAAGGGGAAGTGGAAGATGAAAGGAAGTGAAAAAGGAATGGAAAGAGGAGGGGAGGAAAAGAGAAGGGGAAATAGAAGAGGAAGAGGAAGGGAAAGTGGGAAAGGAAGGGTAAGAGGAAGGAAAGAGAAAGGAAGAAGCAGGTACAACGTCCCGAGCTGCCGCGGGCCCCCGACACACCCACGCGCGCCAGTCTGCGTGGCCGCCCCGGGCTCCGGAGCGCGGCGGGCCGGGCTGCGCGATCTGCTCACCTGGGCTGGTCCCGGAGCGTCCGCCTCCTCAGCCCCGCGTGCTTCCTGAGCGCCGCCGCATGGACGGCCTGCCGCCCCGCACGGGCTCCCGCTGCGCCCCGCTGTGTCGGGTGCGCGGGCGGCAAGCGAGTGCCCAGCGCGCACGGCTCAGGCGCGGAGTCTGCGGGCGGAGAGCGCGGTCCGCGCGCCCTGCCCTCCCGCGCGGCCTCCCGCTGTCACCTCCAGCCGCCCCTGCCGCCCCCTGTCGGCCGCCTAGGGGAGAGCCGGCCCTGGCCCACCCCGGCACCCCGGAGATGAGGGACCCTCTAAAGCCGTGATCCGGCCTGACCCCTGGGAACCTCGAGAAGAGACATCCGCCAGGAGAGTCAGGGGAGGGGAAGGCGGTCTGGACAGAGGCTAGAGGACTGGAGGCTGGACAGTGGTGACTATGGAACTTAGAGGGGACCCGGGCTGGCCAGGGTCGTCCATGGGAGAGCAAAGGGGAAGGCAGAGACGACCAGAGCCTGAAAGTCAGAGCTTGTCTTCATAGCAGCGGCGGTTTGTGGGTGATTTAAGGGCATCCTTGAGTGTTGAGGAACAGCCATTCTGGCTGCAACCACGGGTTTGAGGCTGGTTTTCAGTGAAGTTTTGCTTTCTGGCGTCCGGGGTGAGAGGACATCCCTAAGAGAAAGACTCCCTGAGAACCAGAACAACTCAGCACTTAGCCTTTGTTCTAAGGTCCTCAGGCTGGGCAGCAAGCGCCTTTGCCTGCTAAGCCATCTCCCATTGCCAGTTTCTTGAGTCCAAACACAATGCTAAAATGTTTCAGTTCAACCCAAGTGTCTTAGAGCTGGGAGAAGGAAGTAAGAGTGAGAAAATGTCCCCCCTTTCCTAAAGAGGACAGGACGACCTTAAACAATTGAAGATGCATCTAGGCACAGGACCCTTTCTCTTGATGTCAGTCAGCCTGTTTGTTTATGGCTGCCTCAAAAGCCTGCCTGCAGGGGGTGTTTGGAAAGGGCAGGTGTACTTGTGTGCTGAGGTGGGTGGCGGCAGAATGCAGGCGCCCTACCTTAGAGACAGGCCACATCAGGGGGGGGGTGTGGTATGCTTTGTGGGAGCAGAAAAAAAAAGAGGGACAGGAAAGATACCCCACCAAGAAAAAAAATAACAAAGGGAGCTGGGAAACATAAGAGATGAGGCCAAAGAGGGAGAACAATTTTGAGTGCCTGACACCTGGGTACAGCTGGGGCTGACTGAGTCCAACTGGTTCAAACAAACACGTTTTGATGAGAGGCACCTGGTGTCTGGGGTCCAGCTCCAGTGACTCAACTAGATCTTCAAACTCCAACTGGTTTCATCCATTTAAACTGATAAGCAGCCTACACCTGCAATCTCAACAGTTCAGAGGAGGGAACAGGAGGATCAGGGGTTCAAGGTCATCCTTGACTTCATATCCAATTTGCAGCTAGCCTGAGCTACCTGAAATTATGTTTCAGACAACATAGCCAAGCTTAGGAGTACAAGCCTATAATCCCAGTTACTAGGAGGCTAAGGCAGGGCGATAGAAAGTTCAAATCCAACCTGGGCAACTTAGTGAGCTACGGTCTTAAAACAAACAGTGTAAACATGGCTTGGGGTGTAGTAGAGGGCCCAATGTCTGCCTGGCATGTGTGAGGCCCTGGGTCTATCCCCAGCACCAACAGAAATAAATAATTCTTAAAGGACAAAGGGTGTTTATTAAACCGGATGTGGCAGGAGGAAAGGACATGGGTTTCTTTATTGCTTTACTTTTGAAGAAATGTTGGTTTTAAAGCTGCAAAGACAATAAAAAGAATAAATAATACCCTTATATCCCTCCCCCTCCCCTCCTCCTCTAATGTTAACCCATCATATAAACCAAAGTGCATTGTTAGTGACCAGACTCACCTGACCCAGGCCAGCTCTCAGGAACTGATTCTGATCCCCTTAAAAAGTGTTCAGTCTTCTGAACATACTGTCTTGTGTCACAGAACATTCTCTTTATTCAGCCTAAACTAGCCAGTGAGCTGGGGAGATGGCTCAGAATTTAAAAGTGCTGGCTGTTCAGTTCCCAGCACCCATACTGGGCAGGTCCCAACCTCCTGTGATTCCAGCTCCAGGGGACTTGACACCCTCTTCTGCCCTCTGTGGGCTCTGCACACACATGACAATCACTCACACAAGCAAGCATACATGTACACATAAATAAAAACTCATCTTTAAAACAAACCCCAGTCGTTATAAGCTTTAACATAAGAGCACTTTAAATATTTATACTAAAGTAGTAAGCTTCCCTTTTCCCTCCAAGTATTTACTGTTACACATCTCTTTATCAACACAGGTACATATGTATGTATGAGTAAGATGGGGAGGATTTTGTCCTCATGTATGAAATAAACTACTCACCCTCGCTGGGTTAAGAAGGGCAGGTACTTCAGGTTGCAGCCATGGGCCAGCTGCTGCCCCTTAGCCCTAGTGTCTGCCTAACATCTGGATGTAACATCTTGGGTGGTGGGACATACCACCTCCTAAAACAGCCCATACTGTGCTTGAAGCTCTCTGTTAGAAGATCCCTTTCAGTCTTTAACTGAAGCCTCTCCCTTGTGCCTACTACCCACTGGTCCTAGAGGTGGCCCCTAAAATGGTAGGGAAAAAAAACACCCACAATCCTTCCATGATGTGTCAGCTCTGTACATGGAGGAGAGCCCCTGTACATACCTGTGTCCCCGGCATAATTATGCATTCATGTTGCTCCAGATGGGATGGGAAACAATGTAGTCATCCTGTGAGCGATGCCATCTCTTTGAGACTTGACTGCCCTCTTCAGAAAGCTACACGGCAGCGTAGTCAGCCATGCACCCCCATGGCTGGAGGTACAGAGATCACATGAGGTAAGGCTGCCTGAACATGTGAAGAGTGTGGTGCTGGGGTCTCCTGTGGAGCAAGTTTTAGAGCAAAGTATCCATGGCGAAGGAAAGCAGCGCTGGATTTCTGGCCCCTCACCTCACTGAGAAGCCCTGAGAGTGCTCCAGGGGAGACAATGGCAGCATAGCCCAGAGTCAAGTGAGTATAAATCATTTCACTAGTAGAATATTTCTTGAGGCCAGACTTCCAAATTCTGAGCACACGTGCATAGTACCTCAGAGTCTGTGTCCCAGTAGGGGCGAAAACCTCGGTTAGCTGCTAGCATTTGAAGGTGGAAAGAAAACAGACATACACCCAAAACCCTCATTTCAACCTCCTGTTGAGTCCCTAGGATCCGTCATGGTTCTTGTAAAGTTCTTCTCATTTTCTTGCTTGGAAATTTATATACACTGTAAAGTCAAGACAGGCTTGTGCTCAGCAAATGGATAACAAGGAGGTGTGGTTCGAAGGTTGAACTTGTCTACTTGACAGAATTTAGAAATCACCTAGGAGACACACTTTTAGCATGTCTATGAGGGGCTTAATTAAGGTAGGAAAACCCAACCTGGATGACTGCACATGGGTGGCACATTCCATTGGCTGGGACTCTGGACTAAACAATAGAGGAGAGAGAAGACAGAACATTGGCACCCTGAGCTGGAATAAGCCCTTCCTTCTCAGAGTTGCCTTGGTCAGGGACACTAAAAACAACAATAAAGCCTCTTCCAGTGCCAGTAAACGTTTTGTTTTAAACCATTTCTTTGGGGGCCAGCAAGACAGTTCAGCAGGTAAAGGTGCTTGCCACCAAGCCTGAAGACCTGAGTTCAATCCCCAATGCCTACATGGTGAAGGTGAGAACTGACTGCAGGGAGGTGTCCTCTGCCTTCCATAAGCACTCTATGGTATCATGTGTGCAATTAAAAATAAACTATTAAACTGTATCTAAATACTTCAGGATAAATTTTCTCTCCTGCTTGCCGCCTTAGCTCACTTCTTTTTCTTCTTCTTCCAGGGGTCTGGAATAGTAACCTACAGACTGGTCTGTAGTCTGGGTCCCTGCCTATGGCTGGCTGCAACTTGACCTGGAACATGACCACATGGCAGACCAGAGACTAATTTGTCTGCAGCGGCAGTCTCCGGGGTCACAGGGTTTGGGGTATTTAGATGGACTGTCAGGGGACTGTCGGGGATTCCCGTCAAGTGTCCGAGAGGCTTCAGGGACACCTCAGGTTATCTTGCTCTGCCCTTTCTATTTGCATCATTCTCTCTCTCTTCCTCTCTTGCCCACATCCTGTCAACAGAGATAGCGAAGTGACCTTACCTGGTACAGCACGACTTTTGGAATTCTAAACATTCAGATTATTTCTCTTTTTTCCCTCTTTCAGCCATGAGGCAGCCCTCCATCTGAAGTTGCTTCTCACTAAGAGGAGCAGTGCTAGAGGGAAGCAGGAAGCGAAAGGATGAGCCGAGTAGTCCAAGTAGAAGGAGACAGAAGCAGAGTTTTTTTCTAGAAAGGAAGCCACTTATAAAGGGCCGGAGGGAGACAGAAGCATCCTGGAGTATCCAGGGCTCAGAATGCAAGATGTGGGATGTAGGGCAGGGGGTGAGCTGGGGTGCCTGGGAAGCAGCTCTAGGTTAATGATCACAGACAACCACAACGACTAGGACCTTGTTCCATCAGAACCGATAGAAGCCGCAGGCTGGGGCAGGGGCCCTGGAGCCCCTGCTGTCCTGGACCAGGAATTGGAGAGCCTTCCAGTGAAGAAGTGGGGACAGCCTGAAGTGGTAGCTGCCAATCAACACAGAGAGACGTATATGGCTTTAAATAACGGAGGAAGCTGTGCTAGTCTGTTCCATGTCAGCGATGCTCATGACCATCTCTGAACGTTGTGTCATTTTCAGACAAACAAAAGGAATCCCAGTAGGGACGGCACTAGGCCCCTTTGTTGGTATTTTTTAAATATATATTCAAAGTAATGCAAAAAATCATTCCACAATTCTCTTGTAATGAAAATACTCAAAGCAAAATAAAAGAAATCCATCATTATAAAGGAATGTTGTTTGCCTTCCCCTGCTTCCTGGGAGACTCTCCTAATAAGGCCTTGTCCTTCACCCACTGCACACAGTGCCTCTTGTACCCCCAAGACAGCCCGAGGGGGGACAGCTCCACCAGCGAGCAGTGGCTGTGTTTGAAGCTAATCCACTTACTGGAGTGCTAGAAATCACCATTACTTCGGCCTCATAGGTGATTTCCCTCTTTAGCAAACTGGCTTTCTTGTTGA